TAAATATATATAACATATGGAGCACACACAGAGAGACACATAAAAATATACAACACAAACACATATATAATAAAACATACAATACATATGCACACATCCCTGTCAAATGAATCTTTGGGATTAAATATATCCAAATTTACTCAGATATAATGCAAGTAACCCAGCATGTTCTAATATTTTAATATAAATTCACTTGCTTTTAAATTAATATGTTTCTAGTTTTCGTTTAAAAGGTTGGCCGTGGATAAATGAATCAGCGGATACTGAGCTCACGGATAAGGGATCCTATTGTACGCCCGTTTGCTACGTCAGCTTATGGTGCTATAATAAACCCCGCATCCCCCACTCTGATTATCCTTTTCTCCTAGACCGGTCGGATGCGTACGGTTTATATTTTTATACAAATCAACATATACGCAACACTGAATCCCGCTTTTCCCTCGGCCCATATGCCTTTGGGAAGGCACTTTGACTGGGACGTCAATCACCAGCCAAGGGGGCGGGGCGATATCGACTGAGGGGGCGGTGCTAATGTACAAACCAAGGGCTGGAGCGTCTCCTCTGGGAGAATTATGTTTTCATCACGTGAGAAGCCTGCCCTTTCCGCGACCAATAAGGATTGACAGCTGAGATCATACTATAGCGCAAGGATGAACTCAGCCAATAGAAATGGGTATTTCTTCATCACGTGCACCAGTTTCTCTCTTTCCCCCCCCTCGCGGTCTTAACCGTCCACGATCCGCGCCGCAACCAATAGCGGAAATCAAGAATGACTCAGGACCGTGATTAAGGCATAGGCTGGGCGAACAGCCAATGAAAAGGCAAGAGAGGAGTCACGGGACGAGGGAGTCCCAAGGGGCGAGTCAGAGCGTGGAAGACGGACGTGCCTGGTGGCCAATAAACAGATAGGATGTTTAAAAAAAGCGTTCGTTCGGCACCGGCCAATGAGAAAACACGCGGCTCGTTAACGCTCGGGTTCGTCATCATCATGTGACGGCGCTGCACGGAAGCCTTCGTAACCAAGAGGAGGTAGCGCGTCATTCATCACGTGACGGCACTAGTGGGGCGGCGTGAGGGCGGGGTGGCCCGCTACGCTACGGAAGCCGAGCGGGACGCCGAGCAGGGCGGTTGCGGCAGCAGCAGCAACAGCAGCTCCGCCAGTCCCAGCGGGAGCGGCGATGGCTGCAGACGGCGAGCGCTCCCCGCTTCTCCCAGCCGAGTCCGGGGATGGGGGCGGCCTTGG